TTATTATTTTTAAAAAATAGTGCTCGATACAAATGTAGAGCATAAATATAATTATTTATTTAAAAATATGATTCCAACTCGCGACATAAGAGGTCTCATGTTTCAAAACAAGAGCCGTATTTCTGAAATTTACGTGTTTTAATAATTGAAATCAAAATTTCCATGGTAACAGCTAGGGCGAATTGTTTAAATTTAAATTGTTTAAATTGGGTAGGCGTGTGTTGGGTGTTGATAATAAGTATCAGTATAGAGTTACTTTCATAGATGTCAAGTTAGGGTAAGGTGGGGGTGTCTAAATACGTTATTCAAAAAAAAATTCGCTTGAAGATGGAACAGAGCTTACTTTAACTCAATTTAATTCAAATAATTATATTGAAGTTTTCAGCTCTTGTTTTGAAACATGAGACATCTTATGTCGCGAGTTGGAATCATATTTTTAAATAAATAATTATATATATATATATATATATATATATATATATATATATATATATATATAGAGAGAGAGAGAGAGATATTGAACAGAGATAGATAGATAGATAGATAGATAGATAGATAGATATTGAACATAGATAGATATAAACACACTGTAGATAGATAGATAGATAGATAGATAGATAGATAGATAGATAGATAGATAGATAGATAGATAGATAAAACTATTTATTATTTATGATATATATATTCAATGCTCTCTTTTTTTTTTTTTAAATTAATAGACCTAATTGGACATTGAGTAAGCCGACTAGACTTTGACTTGTAAAATCAGCCAACCAGTTTAGGTATTTTCAGAAATGCTCTCATCTGGATGTCAGCTTTATCGGTTGTTTTTTGAAAACAAGATCGGTTTTATGTATTTTATTTTATTCAATAGTCGTTAATTTGCTTTTAATTATATTCTCAGATTAATTTTAATCTGAAACGAGCTGTGAAATTTATCTCTTAACTTCTCTTGGTGGGGAAGTAAGAGTGCGCGAGAAAATGAACACGCACATGTAGTCAATAACATATATATATATATATATATATATATATATATATATATATATATATATATGTGTGTGTGTGTGTGTGTGTGTGTGTCTTTTCTGTGCCTGTGTTTCTGTGGCATTCTAAACATTTATAAAATACCATTTCGCTAACACGCAAATATGTAAACATATATAAAAATCTCATGGGTAACGGTTATCGATCAATATGATTATGCATTTACATTCGTGATAGATAGATAGATAGATAGATAGATAGATAGATAGATAGATCTGAATATATTGTGATAGATAGATAGATAGATAGATAGATAGATAGATAGATAGATAGATAGATAGATAGATAGATAAATAGATAGGATCTGAACATATTGTGATAGAGAGATAGATCTGAACATATTGTGATAGATAGATAGATAGAACATATTGTGATAGATAGATAGATAGATAGATAGATAGATAGATAGATAGATAGATAGATAGATCTGAACATATTGTGATGATAGATAGATAGATAGATAGATCTGAACATATTGTGATAGATAGATAGATAGATCTGAACATATTGTGATAGATAGATAGATAGATAGATAGATAGATAGATCTGAACATATTGTGATAGATAGATAGATAGATAGATAGATAGATAGATAGATAGATCTGAACATATTGTGATAGATAGATCTGAACATATTGTGATAGATAGATAGATAGATAGATAGATAGATAGATAGATAGATAGATAGATCTGAACATATTGTGATAGATAGATAGATAGATAGATAGATAGATCTGAACATATTGTGATAGATAGATAGATAGATAGATGGATAGATAGATCTGAACATATTGTGATAGATAGGAAGATAGATAGATCTGAACATATTGTGATAGATAGATAGATAGATAGATCTGAACATATTGTGGTAGATAGATAGATAGATCTGAACATATTGTGATAGATAGATAGATCTGAACATATTGTGGTAGATAGATAGATAGATCTGAACATATTGTGATAGATAGATAGATAGATAGATCTGAACATATTGTGGTAGATAGATAGATAGATCTGAACATATTGTGATAGATAGATAGATAGATAGATAGATAGATAGATAGATAGATCTGAACATATTGTGATAGATAGATAGATAGATAGATAGATCTGAACATATTGTGATAACTAGATAGATAGATAGATCTGAACATATTGTGGTAGATAGATACATAGATCTGAACATATTGTGATAGATAGATAGATAGATCTGAACATATTGTGATAAATAGGAAGATAGATAGATCTGAACATATTGTGATAGATAGATACATAGATAGATAGATAGATAGATAGATAGATAGATAGATAGATAGATAGATAGATAGATAGGGGCAGATTCAGACAGAGAGAGAAGAGAGAGAGAGAGAGAGAGAGAGAAATACGTACAGAGAGATCTGAACAGACTAAGATAGACAAATACATTAATTGGAAAATCGTGAAAAACGAACATTTTTGCTCTTGTCTATAAATACTTGTTGCTCAAAAAACTCTTGTATTTGCCTTAAGAAATTCCCTCAGAGTATTAAACGCGCCTCCTAAGGCAAGTTTTCCTTCAAAGCGTGGAGATTTCCGCATATTATTAAAAATTTGGGCCACTAACACACACAAAAAAAAGAGAATGTCTCATATCGAGAATATTTAACATCGAAAAACATTAGAAAAAATTAATTATTTTTAATAATATGTGTAAATCTCCACTCTGTGCCTGATGAAGGTCGCGAGACCGGAAACCCGTGTAGCAAAATTATGGAAAATAAAGCATAATATTTAAAAAAAAAAAAATCCACATTACAACCAAAAACGTTTTCGGTTTCTCTCTTCTTTTTAATATACACACTTTTCTCTCGTTGAGACTAATATAACCTCTTCCCTATATATATATATATATATATATATATATACTCATGGGATAGAAAGATTGAGCGTTTTTAGACAACCTAGACATATCAATCAACACTGCATGACGATGACCAACGACTGCCAGTTGAATGCTCAAAAAGATCTTAGGACCATGTCTCTGTCTCTCTCTTGCTATCACACACAACACACACACACACACACACACACACACACACACACACACACACATTCACTATCTCTGTCCACTGGCCGAATGACTGTTTCCTGTAAGGGGGACGTACGTTCGAGTCCCGCCGGAGAGCTAATATTTTTCTTTTAATAAGATTTCTCGAATATTAGTGCCGCTAGACAAATATCAATAAATACTGTTTAATAAATCCACAGCGAGAATCGGCGCGCCAGAATCGTCCATATTTGGGGAGCTCGCAAAGGTCAACCTTAATGGAAGGGCCTCGCTCCTGGAGAATATAAATAGTAAATATAAATATATAATTTAGTAAATATTATAAATTAATTGATTTAAAATATGTTTTTTTTCCGCTATATTTAGATGTATCAGTTATTTGCAACGACATAATGAACGCGCAGACAGCCCTAGTCTAGTAAAAGTGGTTTTATCTGTAACCTTGGAAACATGAATTATAATTTTAGCTGTGTCTTTAAAACCCAGTAATTTTTAAAAAGCTACTCCAAAATTCGCTTGAGGATGAAATGGAACTAAATGTCTTGAATTTAATTACAAAATTAAATTTGAAGCTTTTAGCTTCCATTTTTGAAACATGGTTAGAACTGTGTAGCGGAAAAAAAACATATTTTAAATCAATTAATTTATAATATTAATGCTCTGTAAATTTACATTGAGCACTATTTTGTAAAAATAAAAATATCTATAAGAACACCGGATTATATATCTTACTGTTCTTTCTTTTTATTTATATATATACATAATTTAGTAAATATAAATTCTTTTTTTTTTATTTTGGGTTGTAATTAATATTTTGTGGGGAATTAACAGAAAAGATCCGATTTTTTTTTTTTTTTGACTCAAATAAGATAATAAAGAAAAAAGAATTTTTTTTTCTACTCAAGCCCCCCCAAATGTCATCGGCGGAACATCGCCAAGTTCTACTAAATTGTCTTATATATTTATTTCGTCGGCTAATTATTCAAATTTATTCTTTACAAACGCGCACGCGCGCGCACACACACACACACACACACACACACACACACGTGTGTATATTTTGCGTGTGTTTCGCTATTTGTTTTTTTCTTTTACGGCTTTCCGTTTTACTTTTTTTTTTTCTTCTTCTAGTGGCTCGCACACACAAACAAATTATCATTTCACAAGGCAACGCCCGAGCAATATTTTATACAACTTAATATAGGTATTATTAGCTGTTTTCGTTTTTTTGTTTTAGTTTTTTATGTGGTTGTTTTTTGTTTTGCTTTTTCGTTTTCTTTTCTTTTTTTTTTTTTTTTTTTTTTTTACTTTATCGGAACAAAGAAATAAAACCACGTAAAAGAAAGAAAAAAAAAGCGGAAAAAAAAAGCAGCATAAAAAACAATTACAAATAAAAAACAAAACAAAACAATCTAAAACACTTCACTCGTTAACAGCTTTTGGGTGAGAAAGAGGAGGGTTGGAAGTGCGAGAGGGTGAAGGTTGGCGGGTGGTGCTTCGGCTGTTGACTCACCATTGCTGGAAGAAGGAAGACCAGACACATAGTGTGTCCGTATTTTCTGGTGTGCACTTGCAGAGTTTTCCTTCTTTTTTTTTTTTTTTTGTTTTTCGTTGTTCGGTGTGGTATTTTTTTTCTTTTTGCTGAAACCTGTCTACAACGACGGAACTGGCCGAGAAAATACGAATTCGCTCGTCCTGAAAAAAGGTCTTTTCTTATTCTGTTCATCTATCTATCTATCTATCTATCTATCTATCTATCTATCTATCTATCTATCTATCTGTCTCAGTCTCTTCTCTATCTATATAAGCCTCTTCTTATCTATCTATCTATCTATCTATCTATCTATCTATCTATCTATCACTGTTAAATATCTATCTATCAAAATCAGATCAATATCTACCTCTGTTCAATATATATCTATCTATCGTTGGATGTTCATTATCTATCTATCTATCTATCTATCTATCTATCTATCTATCTATCTATCTATCTAACTATCTATCTCTGTTCAATACCTACCTATCTATCCATCTCCATCTATCTCTATCTATCTATCTATCTATCTATCTATCTATCTATCTATCTATCTATCTATCTATCTATCCAAGTCTGTTCCTATCTATCTATCTATCTATCTATCTATCTATCTATCTATACCTCATCAGCATCATCTACCAAGTGTTGCAAGGAATAAGTCTCAAGCTAAAACTTTCCAAACAGGAACTACAATTTGGAATTACAATGAAAGCTGTCATGGCATGTATCTTGCCTCCATCATCAAAATTCAGGATGTGTACTTCGTAAATCTGAAACACTTCAAACGTCTCCGTCTGTGGACCAGATAGAATAAATTTAGTATAGGACAGAAGGAAATTAAACATAAACCCTAACAGGCTTCGCTAGATGTAGTCTTGTCCAACACCGCAAATTGCGACAAAACATTAATCTGAAAATGTAAGACATGTCCTAAAATAGTTTCATCAAATCGAGAATTTCATTTCGATGCCATGCATGGCGTCAAACCCTTTCAGAAGTTAGACTGTCGGCTGTATGCAATCGCTTTCTAAGATCATTGAGGAAAAATGTCCTTGAACAAGTGAAAGCTGTGGATCATGGCGAAGACCATTCTTTTTCGAACCTTGTGGACAAAGGCCTGTGTGTGCCGCTCACCTCCTAACTTGCAAAAATTTATTTCCACTGATATTTTTCTTCAAAAATCTATTGCTGGTAATAAAATGTTTTCAATAATGTATACCTGTTAATATTTTTTTTCAAAAAATGTATAGCTGCTAATATTTTTTTTACAAAAATGTATAGCTCGTAATTTTTTTTTCAAAAATATATAACTGGTAATATTTTTCTTTTTTTTTTCTTTTAAATGCATTGTTGCTAATAATTTTATCCTTCAAAAATTTATTGCTGGTAATATTTTTTTTTAAAAGTATTTCTGGTATTAAAACCTATTTTTAATTTTTCATAGTATTTTGAGCCCAGTTTTTTATTTGCCCATAGTTGGGACCCTAACAGGTGCTACTACTCCAAATCAGGGTGAACCTGAGAACACCAGCAATTAAGAGGTGGTTCCACGCTCCTCAGAACCTCCCGATCAGAGGCCCTGCGGTTGGACGTAGTTTATCGTCTTACCCAGGACGCGGACGTAGTTTATCGTAATACCAGGGACGCGGACGTAGTTTATCGTCATACCCAGGACGCGGACGTAGTTTATCGTCTTACCCAAGACGCGGATGTAGTTTATCGTCATACCCAGGACGCGGACGTAGTTTATCGTCTTACCCAGGACGCGGATGTAGTTTATCGTCATACCCAGGACGCGGACGTAGTTTATCGTCTTACCCAGGACGGTGCGAATGAGGGAGCCCCGGAATATAACAGGCGCGTTCCATTTATTGCTCTAATCTGACTCTTTTAAAGATAAAGCGAATCAGAATGGTAATTCCTGGAGCGGTTCAGCATCTTTAGCTATGGATCGTGTCTGTTTTAATTATGGTCTGTAATGACCTAAGACGTAAGCAATGACTAGGTGAAAAACAAAACAAAAAAAACATTATTAAAAATATGGAATATCAAAAGAACCAATATTGTCTGGTTCATGCGATGTCTCGAAAAATCTCTATGTAAAATTCACTATTTTTAACCGTAATGTTGAATTTATTAAAATTTATTAAAATTCTTCAACTTCTTAATAAGAATAAACTCAAACTGATATTAAAAATTGCCACAAAACATTTTTGATTTACTTAAGACGGAATCATTTATTATGTCACGTTCAGAAATTATAATGTCTGCTTTATACAATCGTTTTCTAAGATCAATGATAAAAAAAAAAAAATGTCCTTGAGCGATTGATTCTGTGGTTCATGACGAACATTGTGGACAAGACCCGTGTGTGCAAGCCTCACTGGGGCCCCCGGGCAGTTCTTTGTCCTCACTATCTTATTGACATTTGCTTTTTTTCTACCTATATTTATCTACATTACAAATTAAACTAAGCACAACTCATTACTCAAGGATGAAATTTTTTTTTGCGGATTTTGACGCCATATTTTTTTTTCTATCGTCCATATCTGCGGATTTGTTTTGTTCAAGTCTCGAAAAAAACCACGATAAAAAAATTCACTATTTTTTTAACCATAATGTTGAATATGTTAAAATTATACAAGACAAATCTCAATTTAAGATAGAATGATCTATTATGACAAGTCTCTAATTTGTATTTAGATACTAGATATTAAGGGATTTTATGTGTAATCCGACATTTTTCGTATTACACTAAACGTGACTTTAGCGAATGTACTTTATTTGACGAGAGGCCAAGTCTTTTTTTGTTTCTTTTTACAGGAGAGCACATTTTCTTTATTAAATTTCATGAATGAGCAGGCGGGTC